TTTTCTCACATTCATTTCGCTTAAACTGATATCTCATCGATACGACACTTCTTTTTGGACTAAGTGAATCAAACTGAACAAATGTGCAGCAATGAACCATGTTCTGAGTGGAGTCAGTTTGAACTTGTAAAGCCTACAAAATATCAAATCATATTTGTTGACTTCCAATACTCTTCTAGCACTTATTTGGTTCATACTTGATCTCTGTAATCATATTCGTATGATTATGATCTCCGAATCCAGACACTTTCTGAAAGAGGTCAATATTGAACAACCATGAAAAGTCCGCAAGTACACAAAGTTTTACTCGAACTTAAATACCTAGAACATCAAGTCTACATATATTCACTTCGGTCTGCTGTCCGAACCGATGAATAACTGACTCTCAGAAAATGATTATATTCGGCTATTGTCAGATAGATATTAAATTACTCTTACTCAGTCAAAAAATCATTGGACAAATTTGAGCGGACGTGAAATAAATTTACCTAAGTCAGTTGATTGAAAAGTTCATTATACCATTGAAGCGACATTATTCCTTGAAATATCTCCATTTCATGTAGATGTCGGAATGAAATTGATAACTTGTGTGCAAAGGTATTCCGGGTTACAACGTACATTAAATAAAAGAGATGGATTTTTATTTCACAGATATTTCATTATCTATTTTCGTATTTTCAATAATTCAGAGGGATTATTCACTGTCAAATGATCTCATGAAGGAGAAGATAATGGTACACGTAAGTCAACACATATGAGACCTGCATACTTACACCTTCACAGATTGTGATCACTCAATATTTGTGAGATTCAAATCTCCTTAGAAACTGAAAATGTTGGAAGTTCTTACATTTTCGAAAAACGATGATTGATATGTATGTGAAATCCACTCACCATTTGAATACATTGAATTCGACTTGAAGATCAGTTAACATGAACTGGTAATGATTAGATCTGAAAAGTCAAAAATTGATCACCATAGATAAATAAGGTCAAAATCTCATTTCGCCTGTTGGGAAACAAATGAGGAGTTTCATTTTTGTTTAAAAGCTACGATAAACCTTGGCGGAAAATCGTTGCTTCAAAAAAAACGAATCGTATTATATGTTTGTCACAAAGCCATTCCTATGCACATCATATTCATCTACACTTCCATTCATCACATAGTCATTCCTGTATATATGACCCATTCATATTGAGTAGTCGTTAAGATTACACATTCAAATCTATTCGTCTTTCATCTACAACAAACAAACACTGTAGCCAGAGTTACTTGATCGAGTTAAATATCCATATGTTAGGTGATCAATAAGATTCTCTAGTTGCATTTGTGAATAAACGCTCCACAACTAATGTCATGCATACTTGGAGTCGATTGTTAAAAGGAAAATTATAGAAACTATTGCGTACGTGAAAATACCTTTGCAGTATTAGACCTTCAACGATTCAGTAGTAATAAAATAGTAATACAGATTCAGAAACTGGGCATTCAACATTAGTTTGGAAGGATGCATGCTCGTTTCATTCACACGAAGTTCACTTCAATGATTTGAGATTTCAAGTTGAACAGCTGCTGCATAAGGAAAGTGCCTGTACCCGTAGATCGGTTCCAGAAGGATCTTGGTGTGACCGATGTCCTCAACTTAAGACCACCGATCGTCGACGTGTGGTTGCAGCTAAGACGTTTGCAACACTGTGGGTTTTAAGACGGACATTCACCAAGTTAGATACTAACATGATCACCACAGTATACACAACCTTCGTGAGAAATAAGCCTGAATAATGGATTGACGCTGTTGGTTCTTATTTAAAAGTTGACCTGCAAAAAATGCTGAGTGCAGTTACCCGTGCGATTCCAGAACTCCGATGTTTACAACAAAAAGAGAGGATTGAAATACAAGACCTCTTTACTGTGTCTTATCGTAGACGGAGATGTGACCTGATTTCGATGTACAGAATACAAGAAATGATTTTGGACCCAAAATAATTTATCATTTGCTTCCCACTAGATGTGTTCATCTCAGAGAACAAAGTAAACGTGTAGTAAAGTCAAGAACGAGCAAAATATACGTGGCATACAGGTTTTCACACATTCAAATTCTGAAGTTTTCGATGAACAGATGTAAAGAATTTGTCTTACAACTAACTAGAATCCTCGGCATTAACAAACGAGCCTGTTACGCTTTCTTGATCAATTCCCAAAAACGTACTACTAAATCATGTATTGTGTACTAATTTCGAGTGCTGGGAAGAGAAACATTTCATGAAAACGTCGATAACTCCACCACGTTACATAGTCATTCTGATCTGATGCGAATAACAGATATTAGAGTAATTGCAAAGCCAGTCACGGAGTTGACCACAAGTTTGGTACATGTTTATCCAGTGCTAAATTGCACTCACATAATTCCTTTGTATTTCGTAATGATGAATGTCTAAAATGTTGTACAATTGGTTACATTCGGTCAGTCTGTAGAACTACATTTAGTATTGACACTAATGAAGATAAACACTGTAGTTCGGATTTTATTAAATTGTGAGATTCTAGTGATAACTTATCTTTTACAACACTTCGGAAAATAATGTTCATACTCAGTAGCGACGATATACCTCCCTTGATTAATTCTATGACTGTTATGTTGAGATAGAAAGTATATAGTAATACCTCAGTCCAGAATTGAATGACGCTTTGTTTGCCTTATATAACCCTGAAAGCAAACGTCAACTGGAACAAAATTTTGTTCCACGTGACATTTGTTGAGGAAGCCGAAGCGATCCCCATCCTAAAACACAATTGATGCAGCAAAATAAATACGAGAAAAAACATTTCAGAAGAATCAAATCCTGAATATGAATCGAATGCTTATCGGACATCTGGTGAGATTTTGTTAGATGCTGATTCTCGAATGACATTCTTACAAAATTGGAGGAATAACATTTCAGAAGAATCAAATCTTGAAGATGTCATGTTAAATGCTACTTGTGCTCATCATATTTGTTTTTTGGTGGGAAAGTCAATAATTATTTATTTATTTTCCTCAACACATAAACATTGATACAACAAGGCACAGTGTATATATGCGTCACATAAATCACTCGATCTGTGTGAGGGCTAGGCTATATTCCGTTTGCTGTGGAGCGTTCGACCTAAAGGTGCAATCCACAAGGCGGTGAAGCAACGTGAGAAATTCAGTTTCATGGTAGTCGCTGACTCATAAATGATTCACACGTCATTTATTCACTCCGAATCTCAGAGCCTATGTGCACCATTGATTAGTACTCAGGATTTTCCAATTTCGCTTATGTGGCTACTCCATATCCAACAACATGCTTTATTCGCCAGCCACTCGCACTTTGTCCTCGCCTACTCGCGAGACATCAAGGAGTAGGACGTCCTTGGCAGGAAATGTGCGCACATGGCCATGTAAGAGCATTTGTAGTGAGAGTGAGAGTGAGCTGACTCTCCTCACTCTCGGCCGTATCATGGCACTTAGGGGCTCCTAATGTGGGAAACCTGAAACAAGTTCAAAATCAATTTCAACCTAAAATTTGATCGGATGATTCAATATCAAATGTTGTATATAAAATATTATTTCATGGAGAAAACAGTGTTTGAAGAGCTATGCTTCGAATTGCAGACATCAATGATATAATTATACACATTGGCATATTATTCAGATACGCTTCCAGAAACCAGATGACTGTGTCACACAGAGTCTACATGCAAAACATAGCTGAACAAATGAACGATAAACTTATGGAGAAGTTCAGTCCATTAGAGAAATTCGGACTCCTATTTAAACTGTGATGGCTTTGATAATTTTACGAATTAATGGTTTCTTCGTACTTGATGGCCTATGATTTCGAGTTTTCAAAAACAACAAGTTCGTGTGTGTTCATTCAGTTTCTCACAGCACAATTCAGAACAATGAAACTGAACATCTTCAGTGACAACCGTGAAGTATGTGTGCTCCGAAAACTGCAATTCATTGTGCAACGCTGGTTACTTATTTTTCAACAGCACTTAGCACACCAAACTATCAACTCAGTATCGGTATCCTTTGTGAAGCTGAGAAGGACAACTCCGTTTTAGCTCGTTTGGAGGAATAAGCTTTGAGTGAAACTGATGGACGTTTATTGCTTATGTCAACAATAAAAATTTGTAGAGAATCACAATCCGTCTAGATAACACCGAATTAACTTTGGTTTGTCACTCATCATTAACATAAGAATGAATAATGAAGTAACGAAGGATGACGATGGACATTCACAACAAACTCATTGTTGATTGCAATTAACACAAAATCACGTAAACACATGACTATTAATTCGGAAAAAAGTGTTGTCAAACTCTCGTAAGAAAAGTCAGCTTCTAATGAATAAAGACAATGACGTAAATATTATAAATCATGTTTGATATTTAATTAACAAGAATACATCGGCTATAACATAAACAAGCACAAAATCTACATAGTTCCGTAAGGAAAAGTTCAAACCATTAAAATGAATAAATAAATCTAAAACTATTCATTAAAATACGAAAAAAAAAGCGGAATTGGTCCGAATATTCGAATCTAGTTATGAGACTTTGTTGAGAGTCATTCACTATTTCTCCTTCCTTTATGCTACCATCTACAAATAACACAACTGATGCATGCAGCAAAGAAGAAGACGACGGAAGGAATAACAATATACAGATACCAAAGTGATTTGTTCTGTTCACTTTCTTGAGTTATTTCAGTGGTCGCATTCTATAGAAAAATAAAACAGTAGCATTTATCACTAACTGTCAAATATTTACCGAGTATTGTTCATTTCCATTGGTAGTTTCCGTGACGTTTCCTCCAACCTGAACTTCAGGGATCCCAAATGTTGTTCCGTTTTGATTGACGGGTGTCGATGTACTCACATCGTTAACATCCGGGCTCTTTTGGATAAACAAAACAGTAGCATTTATTATTAACTATCAAATATTTACCGAGTATTGTTCATTTCCATTGGTAGTTTCCTTGACGTTTCCTCCAACCTGAACTTCAGGAATCCCAAATGTTGTTCCGTTTTGATTGACGGGTGTCGATGTACTCACATCGTTAACATCCGGGCTCTTTTGGATAAACAAAACAGTAGCATTTATTATTAACTATCAAATATTTACCGAGTATTGTTCATTTCCATTGGTAGTTTCCTTGACGTTTCCTCCAACCTGAACTTCAGGGATCCCAAATGTTGTTCCGTTTTGATTGACGGGTGTCGATGTACTCACATCGTTAACATCCGGGCTCTTTTGGATAAACAAAACAGTAGCATTCATTAAAAAAACATGAAATACCCTTAGACTAATTCATTACGCTTTACTGTCAATAAGGGTAATAAAATACAATTCAACAAACAGTAACAAAATGTGCATTTGTACAATCATTCAGAACATCTAACACCGATTCGACATACCTTAAAATGGCAATCATTCACTTTAAAGAAATGATGATCCTGATGATGACTGTCGATGCACGTGTTCCATTTCTCACACCAAATACATTTTACATTCGATGTTGTTGCTTTTCGACATGCTTCAAATGAATTGTGTATTGGACAAATTGCTGTAAAAGTAATAAGGTGATTATATAATTCGAATACGTAAACAGAACTAAAGAGAATCACAATACATGGAACTATAACTAAATGACATGATAGTGATTTCAGTGTTAAGTGACTATTTCATTCACTAAAGAGTTGCTATCACAGTGAGTAATGCAATACTCAGTATACATTCAATTTCATTAACGTTTCACAACGGAATGTTTAGAGTGAATGAAACAAGTTAGAATATCAATTATGAACGATGAATTCCGACTGACAAACTTGACAGAATTCAATGCTGTCACTGGTTTCAGCAAAGTATGTGGCCGCATTCTGGTCTGTTTGCTGTCGGTTAATGCAACAGACTAGTTGGATCAACGAAAATTCATCGATAATAAAGACAATATTTTATGCAATGAATATTGAAGGTGATTTGATCATTGGATAATGGAATGATTCTCTCAGTGGTGGAAATGTTGTTTCGGTACATAACACATGGTGAACTGAAATCTGTTATAATTTACTGAGTGTTCATATTCAATTTCGTATTGTTAAATACATCAATAATTCTGAGACTGTCTATGATGAATATAAGTTTGGTGACGTCACCTTTCTTCATCTACATTTTATCGGATATGGTTAAGCAAAGTTGTTGTCAAAACTGTTAACAGCTCAATCTTAGACCATTTAGTCCAAACAGGACATACAGCCAACATCGAGCAATCTTTTGCAATAGTTTACCGTGTCAACAGCAGTCAACCTAATTCCGTCAGACTGCGAATCCTACAGACGGCTGAAGCAATTGCTATTCGGATCAAAAAGCCAGAGCTTTGTATCCAAAAGAAGTATGTTCAACCACTCCTTTTACCCTGGCCAACTAGCTAATAATCAATCTTATAATGCGGTGACGTAATCTGATTAATGTTCATTTTATGTCCCAAACTTATTATTATTATTATTATTATTATTATTGTCTTTACACTTGATAACCCCTGAATCGACTATATTTGACCTAATTATTTTACATATTACGTAATTTCCGATTTGTAATCACAATATTCTCTCTCTCTGTTACCCCATGTTGACCATATTTATTCTGATAATTTATCTCACAATTTCATTTCGCTTATAAACTGATTCAAGTTAACACTTCATATTAGTCAGCCCCAACATTAACAATTTTATTTTATATAAAAAACAATTCCTGATTCACATATTGCAATTTCCAAATGATGATGTATTTTGCCTTAAATTTGGCCAATTTTATGGATTATTAATCTGGATTTATAATTGTAGAACCTGATGAGAAATTATTGAAAAGAATATTCTTCGTTCATACAATTGTGTTCTTATCGGATATGTATGACAAAGCAGAGATTTTGGAAAGTAGCCAAACGTTTTGATGTTGAATCGCAATGATATTGAATGTTCTTGTGATTTCAATGCCCCAGAAAAATTCGACATCACATGTACCAAAAAGGAAAAACAGAAGCTGCCTGGTCAATCCACAATCAAATAACTGTTACCTAATCTTTTTCCAGATTACTATCAAGTCATACATCGTTTTGTGAGTTTGTCCACAAGACTTGAATATCATTCTTGATATTTAAAAGTCAATCGACGTGTAGTTACTAATGGTAAGTGAAACGTATTTTGAGACGGATGCCTGGATGTCATTTAGTAGCCGACTGCAGTCACAAATGAAATTTCCAGAGTGTTGAAATAAAAAGGATGTATTCACGTGTGAATATAGTAAATGATGATAAATAAGGTTTAACATACTGTCGATGACTTAATACTCCACTAACGTGCCAGTTTTGATCCATTTTGAAGGAACAGATATCTCATGTTCTGTCTTACCTTGTGTGACAAATTGAAGAGAAAAAACCTAACATTTAGCAACAACTGAAAAATTCAAGTTAACCCTTTAAACATTTTTTCACGTTTCAGCTTACAAATAAACAACATGAAAGCATCAAATGAAAAACGAATGACGACTAGCGTTCCTTCTTATTTAAAAAGTCTCAACTGGATATTGCTGCATCTCGGCGTTGATGTTTACTCGTGGACAAGATCTGAGAACCATTCAGTTCAAACGTCAAACGGATATTCCCTCAACTATTCAGTCCAAACACCTACTGGTTTGTACGAAGCGTGAAAGGTTATTTCATTCCTGCTCTGTTAACTTAATCCTATCTTCGATATTTATGACGGCAGTCGATTCCACTGCTAACCACCATCCATCTTTGCCTACAATGCTTGTGATCAAAGAAAACATCGAAGCAATCATCACAGAAAGCGCATGAATCAATAAGAGACAGGTGGGAGAACTCCAACGAGCAATATAGAAATGACAAATTTCATCATTTTTTACTGACTCTGTTATGCACTTCAATGGAACAATATGTATCACTTGACCAAATATTTGGTGCATGTTCTCACATGTGATCATGTAACACTGTATTCCGCTCATTCACTCAGCTTGAAAACTGAGCTTTATATTTCATCAACACATAAGATCGAGCATTGTGTGCAGAAAACATTAGCTTCAGGTGCTACTTATTCATCACGCGTGACGATATTATATCTGCCTAATTTCATCGTTCATATATGTCTACCTCTTTCAGTTTATCGATCTCCAAAAGTACTAAACATTTCTTATTAACCATCAAAACTTTCGCGATAAAAAAACATTCATACACCTTAGTTATCTTACTCCAGATAGTCGGTCATATTAGCCACAGTAAACAGATAATTGATCATAGACGTCACAGTGCGTCAAACTGTTAACATCATTCTTTGCAAAATTTCTTACCTGTTTTACATTGAAAGAATCCACGGATTCCGCACACTGTAGTGTTTGAAATTTCAAAAATATTCTGAAAGAGACATGGAACGAGGATTAGTCAGCACACAACCTTTTATATCAAAACAAATTGAACGCCAGCTGTCAACTTCAGTCAAGTTTGATGACTTATCAATCTAACATGAAATATGTTGACACACTGTGAGATGAAAATCTACGTCAGTTGTAAAGAAATGTGACTGTTAACAGCTTCATGGAAGCTGTGCTCAAATGATACATTATTGAATGTTCCGAAAAGCCTACCATTTGAAGATGAAATACAGTCTGACAGAATACGACACATTACATACACTATACTGACATACACTGGTTAGTAGTGTTTGACATGAACACATCATTGTTACAACTGATGTCACTTCACTTCTAATTACTCACATTTTAACAAATGCTAGAGTGAGTTGTGTCATTAATAGAATAATTACAAAGTCAAGTAGTTTGTTTACACATCACAAAATGTTGATCTTTTTCCATTGTGTTCAGTGTAGCTTAATACACATTCGACAGTATTCATACGCATGAAATAGTAGGATGATCTCAAGTACTTGAAACAAAACTAAATGTACATTCAGTTATATAACTTACGTTCTCATAATAGATAGATATCTTCCCATTCGGATATAACAGATTAGTTACTATGGGTGTATTCTCTACAATTAAAAGACAAACGATACTTAGAATTTGAAAGATATGTGTAACACAGCATGTGCTCACTCACAAAGTGATCAAATTTAGTGTATAATTAATGAGTTGTTTCAAATGCTTTCTTCAGTCGGATTCGCACTCAAAACATTGAACTAAACTTCATGTGAATGAAACGAGCATGCATCCTTCCAAACTAGTGTTGAATGCCTAGTTTCTGAATCTGCATTACTATTGAATCACTGAAGGTGAAATACTGCATATATATTCGCACATACGCAATATTTTCTATAATTTTCCTTGTGACAATCGACTCCAAGTACGTATGATATAAGTTGTGGAGCGTTTATTCACACATACAACTTGAGAATCTCACTGATCACCTAATATATGGATATTTAAATCGATCAACTAACTCTGACTACAGTGTTTGTTTGTTGTAGATGAGAGTCGAATAGATTTGAATGTGTAATCTCAACGACTTCTCAATGTGGAAGGATATATAGATATATAGGAATGATTATGTGATGAATGGAAGTGTAGATGAATATGATGTGCACAGGAGTGGTTTTGTGACGAACATATAACAGGTTTTCAAACAGGCAATGTGCATCAAGTCCCAATCAATTTGATCAAACGGTGAATGGATTTCACATTTGCTTCAACCCTCATTTTCTAGAAAAGTAACAAAGTTTTACATGTCAATTTTCTGAAAACTGAATTACACAAACAGTGTGTGATCAAAAAGAGTAAAGAAGTAATTGTGCAAATTTCACTTGTCATGAATAATGTTTACCTTTATCTTCTCCTTCAAGAGACCATCTGGCAGCGAATAATCCCTCTGAATTATTGAAAATAAAAGTAGATAATGAAATTTGTGTAAAATGATAATCCATCTCTTTTATTAAATGTACGTTTTAACATGGACTACCTCTGCATACAAGTTATCAGATTCATTTCAGCATTTACATGAAACGGTGTGGTGAAATGGTCGATCATCGCCTATGAGGAAGGTTCAAGGATTATTGTCACTTCAACGATATGATGAACATTTCAATCTCTCTAAGTGAGAATGTTACACTTCTGTTAATTTTTCTCAAACGATTTCGACTGAGTAATTGTCTTTTGATATTTGTTCGATGCTAGATTTTGTTAATCGTCAATTTATATAACTGACCGAGATATACGGATGTAAACTTGATATTCTAGGTGTTCTAGTTTGAGTAAAGAATCTTGCACTAGTCGACTGTTCACGTTCGTTCATTAGTCCACTGTGTCAGAAAGTGTTTGAATTCGAAAATTGTATAAATATGAATATGATTAATGAGGTACAGTTGAATATACGATGGTCGACAGACTGCGACTTAGAGACACTAAACGTTTAGGAATCGAGTAAGTTCTAGAAATGTATTTTAGGGAATCAAATAAGATTTGATAGATTGTCGGCTTCAATAGTACAAACTGATTTAACTCAGAACACCGCTTATCATTGCACATTTTTTTAGTTTGATTCACTCACTTTACTGAGAATTGTCGTATCGATGAGATTCCATATGTGCAAAATGTATTTGAGAACAGTAAATAAAACAAACTGCAACTGAATAATTCAAGAAACTCACTCTCATTCAAAAGATGACGTGACAAATCTCTTCCTAAATAATTCGACATTTGACCAATTTCATCGTTGTTTTTAAATATACCTAAAACACCTATAATTTTGATAATGAAAACATACAATGTGATTGATAATTTCACATGGAATGAATAAAATATAAATTGCATAAGTTGGACATGTAACAAGGAGCATGTAAGTGATTCATTGAAGAAATCGAATCCACTATGATTCATGCGATTAATTGGTGATCAAGTAAATTCAATAACAATTTTAGTTTAAAGAAAATTATGGACTTACCTCTAGGCCAAATTTTAAATTTATTGACTTCACTTTCAAAAAATTTTAACGGGAATTCTGGTTTAATAGACTAAAAGGTGTAAATAAGTGGATAGCGCCTCAACTACAAAATGTAACCAACTCACTTTAGTCGTCTTGTACTCATTAAAACTGCCATGCACATTTGGACGAGGCTGATTGAGATTAATGGTTTGTGAGTAATAATAATGGTGAGACTGTATATGTCTATTAGAATCTGACTGATTACTTACATATCGATATGATTCATTCATAAAAATCACTTGTTCAAAGTTCTTCCACTTCGGCTGTTTACAAATTTCATCACAGTTACACAACACGGAAAATACGTTCAAGATCATAGAAATTCTTATGAACAGATTATATGGAGAATTGAATCTGAAATGATTCAAGTGAATAAAAGAACGTTATCACATGGACTCATATTTCAATTTGCACGATACAGTCATTTAACTCTTGTGTTCAGCTAACACTCACCTCATCATCTTGTTCAAAGCAGTTAATGAAATTTCACTAAAAATAGTCTGGTATATATAGATTTATTGAGTGTTTGGTTGTTTTATTCTGATTCGATAATTCAAAGTGACCATGAAGGTCAAATTTCGTTCATTATGTTCATTATTGACGGAAAACATTTAGTGCACGGCCATTTTTGTATTTTTTTTTTCGAGTGAAATTTTTTTTCGTCCCATTGGAAAAAATTTACATCCCCATCTTTCAATAATTTTCATTCTGTTTCGTCCAATCAACTAACTAGTTTTGAGTTCGTTATAATTGGTCATTTATTTCTCTAAATCGATATAGAATATGAGGACTTGACGACAGAGCACATTTTCTTACAGTTATGGACCGTAGTAGCGTGCGGAGTACAGTCTCCGTCGTTCATCACGTTGTCACAGAAACCGATAACCTATTCTTGAGCACATTGTGTCTCGTAGCGTTCCAATCTCTTGAAGCGTTGAAGAGCGCCATTAGAACGTATGAAAGAGCCACGTACTGCCATTATGTGGTGAGGGATTCTCATTTCCATAGAGATCGCAAGCCGTATATTATATTCGTATGTTGGAGAAATGGCCGTAGAACACCTAGCGGTTCCTCGCAGCCGAGTAGTCGAACGAGGTAATTTGATTAGTGTTATTATAATTTTTCATTAAGGACTACCGTGAACACTCAATGTCTTTCCTTCATATTTTGTAAGTTATCAACTATCAAAATAACCTCAATATGGATGCAACGTTAAGGAATGACGAGGGGTAAATCGGTTCGATGAACTCAGAGGAGTTCACTGAACGAAATGACGACAATGACGGAAGCGCATATGACAACAGACTTTGTGATATTTGCAATCTTGTGCAACCGCCACATGAAACTGCTGATGTAATTGCCTGGATTTTTTTGTCCATGCGAAGCAATGCTTCATTTATTTTGTGCCTACGACCCATCACCAAACGTCCATGGAATCCACTGTCCCATGTGCGGCGCTATAACGGAGTCATAGCAACTTTTTTGTTCATGAAATTCGGAATTGTTAAGAGAACGAGTAAAGGCCCTTTTCAGGGCCACCCACAATTTGATTTAAATTCTTTTGTTTCAATTTCTTATTTCCATACCAAAGGTCAATTGGTGAAACCATCAATATTCATTTAAGATTAATAGTCATTATGTGATTATCGTCCACGTATTCGTAAACGCTTTTTAAGCTTTATCAAATATAGGGTTTAAGTAAACGATTTCGTATAGGAAATGTCATCTAATGAACATTCATCTGTCTAAGAATAGTACATGCAAAACTGGTTCAGAATGTTTCAGTGTTTTGTCATATAGTTACGATAGGCGAATGTAGTACTACCAGTTCACTAGTACAACGACATCATTTCTATTGGAAAGGTCAACTGAACCAACAATGATGAATTCTAATTAAGCCTTAGTGATTAAGCAATATAATCAATTGAGATTTATAGAAATTTCGTGGATTAGATTATTTAAAGAGGATTTTATAAAACGTATAAATGTATCACTTTGTTCTTATTAAGCTGTGTAATTCAGAGAGAGACACCTATTTCCTCAGACGTAGGCTTGTTCTTTTATACTTAATGTAACTAATATTTCAAATACCTGTCAAAAATTGTTATTCAACAATATAGAATATTCTGTGGGGATTTTTAAACTGTAAATATGCTGTTGACATTACGTGCAAAACATTGTTAAGCTCAATTGACGAGCACAATAATCTATTCATCACATGACTACTTACATAGACAAGTATTTTTTGTCATAATTTTAAACTGCTCAACTACAAAGAATGTACAGGTAAAAACAAGTAACGCTTTTAATGGATTGGCAAAATAACGCAATTAACAATCTTCCATTTATTTATGACACCATTTTTTCCGACGAAACTAGACAATTCTTTTATACTAAGAATTACTGTTTGGAAAAGAACCCAATCACATAAATATTGTTTGCTATTTTCTGAGAGAAGTTATTACTATTTTGCTTCATTCACCGATCATTAACGATTAGCGTGATTTATGCATGCCCTATTCATTATTTTATCATGATGATTTATGGATTAGTTGCTACGCATATAACGTTTAATAAAATAACATACGATGTGTTAAGAAAAAACTAATGGAAATACTTCGATGAATGATTTCTTTACTAATTGTGTATTGAAAATTCGACCACCACCTTTCTCTTTGATTTGTCACACAAGGTAAGACAGAACATGAGATATCTGTTCCTTCAAAATGGATCAAAACTGGCACGTTAGTGGAGCATGAAGTCATTGGCAGTATGTTAAACCTTATTTATCATCATTTACTATATTCACACGTGAATACATCTTTTTTATTTCAACACTCTGGAAATTTCATTTGTGACTGCAGTCGGCTACTAAATGACATCCAGGCATCCGTCTCAAAATACGTTTCACTTACCATTAGTAACTACACGTCGATTGACTTTTAAATATCAAGAATGATATTCAAGTCTTGTGGACAAACTCACAAAACGATGTATGACTTGATAGTAATCTGGAAAAAGATTAGGTGACAGTTATTTGATTGTGGATTGACCAGGCAGCTTCTGTTTTTCCTTTTTGGTACATGTGATATCGAATTTTTCTGGGGCATTGAAATCACAAGAACATTCAATATCATTGCGATTCAACATCAAAACGGTTGGCTACTTTCCAAAATCTCTGCTTTGTCATACATATCCGATAAAATGAAGATGAAGAAAAGTGACGTCACCAAACTTATATTCATCATAGACAGTCTCAGAATTATTGATGTATTTAACAATACGAAATTGAATATGAACACTCAGTAAATTATAACAGATTTCAGTTCACCATGTGTTAGGTACCGAAACAACATTTCCACCACTGAGAGAATCATTCCATTATCCAATGATCAATTCACCTTCAATATTCATTGCATAAAATATTGTCTTTATTATCGATGAATTTTCGTTGATCCAACTAGTCTGTTGCATTAACCGACAGCACACAGACCAGAATGCGGCCACATACTTTGCTGAAACCAGTGACAGCATTGTGCTTACATCTGAATGTAAACAGTCATTGAATTCTGTCAAGTTTGTCAGTCGGAATTCATCGTTCATAATTGATATTCTAACTTGTTTCATTCACTCTAAACATTCCGTTGTGAAACGTTAATGAAATTGAATGTATACTGAGTATTGCATTACGCACTGTGATAGCAACTCTCTAGTGAATGAAATAGTCACTTAACACTGAAATCACTATCATGTCATTTAGTTATAGTTCCATGTATTGTGATTCTCTTTAGTTCTGTTTACGTATTCGAATTATATAATCACCTTATTACATTTACAGCAATTTGTCCAATACACAATTCATTTGAAACATGTCGAAAAGCAACAACATCGAATGTAAAATGTATTTGGTGTGAGAAATGGAACACGTGCATCGACAGTCATCATCAGGATAATCATTTCTTTAAAGTGAATGATTGCCATTTTAAGGTATGTCGAATCGGTGTTAGATGTTCTGAATGATTGTGCAAATGCACATTTTGTTACTGTTTGTTGAATTGTATTTTATTACCCTTATTGACAGTAAAGCGTAATGAATTAGTCTAAGGGTATTTCATGTTTTTTTAATGAATGCTACTGTTTTGTTTATCCAAAAGAGCCCGGATGTTAACGATGTGAGTACATCGACACCCGTCAATCAAAACGGAACAACATTTGGGATTCCTGAAGTTCAGGTTGGAGGAAACGTCAAGGAAACTACCAATGGAAATGAACAATACTCGGTAAATATTTGATAGTTAATAATAAATGCTACTGTTTTGTTTATCCAAAAGAGCCCGGATGTTAACGATGTGAGTACATCGACACCCGTCAATCAAAACGGAACAACATTTGGGATCCCTGAAGTTCAGGTTGGAGGAAACGTCACGGAAACTACCAATGGAAATGAACAATACTCGGTAAATATTTGACAGTTAGTGATAAATGCTACTGTTTTATTTTTCTATAGAATGCGACCACTGAAATAACTCAAGAAAGTGAACAGAACAAATCACTTTGGTATCTGTATATTGTTATTCCTTCCGTCGTCTTCTTCTTTGCTGCATGCATCAGTTGTGTTATTTGTAGATGGTAGCATAAAGGAAGGAGAAATAGTGAATGACTCTCAACAAAGTCTCATAACTAGATTCGAATATTCGGACCAATTCCGCTTTTTTTTTCGTATTTCAATGAACAGTTTTAGATTTAGTTATTCATTTTAATGGTTTGAACTTTTCCTTACGGAACTATGTACATTTTTTGCTTGTTTATGTTATAGCCGATGTATTCTTGTTAATTAAATATCAAACATGATTTATAATATTTACGTCATTGTCTTTATTCATCAGAAGCTGACTTTTCTTACAAGAGTTTGACAACACATTTTTCCGAATTAGTAGTCATGTGTTGACTTTATTTTGTGTTAATTGCAATCAACAATGAGTTTGTTGTGAATGTCCATCGTCATCCTTCGTTACTTCATTATTCATTCTTATGTTAATGATGAGTGACAAACCAAGGTTAATTCGGTGTTATCTAGACTGATTGTGATTCTTCCCAAACTTCTATTGTTGACAGAAGCAATAAACGGCCATCAGTTTCACTCAGAGCTTATTCCTCCAAACGAGCTAAAACGGAGTTGTCTTTCTCAGATTCACAAAGGATACCGATACTGAGTTGATAGTTTGGTGTGCTAAGTGCTGTTGAAAAATAAGTATCCAGCGTTGCACAATGAATTGCAGTTTTCGGAGCACACATACTTCACGGATGTCACTGAAGATGTTCAGTTTCATTGTTCTGAATTGTGCTGTGAGAAACTGAATGAACACACACGAACTTGTTGTTTTTGAAAACTCGAAATCATAGGCCATCAAGTACGAAGAAACCATTAATTCGTAAAATTATCAAAGCCATCACAGTTTAAATAGGAGTCCGAATTTCTCTAATGGACTGAACTTCTCCATAAGTTTATCGTTCATTTGTTCAGCTATGTTTTGCATGTAGACTCTGTGTGACACAGTCATCTGGTTTCTGGAAGCGTATCTGAATAATATGCCAATGTGTATAATTATATCATTGATGTCTGCAATTCGAAGCATAGCTCTTCAAACACTGTTTTCTCCATGAAATAATATTTTATATACAACATTTGATATTGAATCATCCGATCAAATTTTAGGTTGAAATTGATTTTGAACTTGTTTCAGGTTTCCCACATTAGGAGCCCCTAAGTGCCATGATACGGCCGAGAGTGAGGAGAGTCAGCTCACTCTCACTCTCACTACAAATGCTCTTACATGGCCACGTGCGCACATTTCCTGCCAAGGACGTCCTACTCCTTGATGTCTCGCGAGTAGGCGAGGACAAAGTGCGAGTGGCTGGCGAATAAAGCATGTTGTTGGATATGGAGTAGCCACATAAGCGAAATTGGAAAATCCTGAGTACTAATCAATGGTGCACATAGGCTCTGAGATTCGGAGTGAATAAATGACGTGTGAATCATTTATGAGTCAGCGACTACCATGAAACTGAATTTCTCACGTTGCTTCACCGCCTTGTGGATTGCACCTTTAGGTCGAACGCTCCACAGCAAACGGAATATAGCCTAGCCCTCACACAGATCGAGTGATTTATGTGACGCATATATACACTGTGCCTTGTTGTATCAATGTTTATGTGTTGAGGAAAATAAATAAATAATTATTGAATTTCCCACCAAAAAACAAATATGATGAGCACAAGTAGCATTTAACATGACATCTTCAAGATTTGATTCTTCTGAAATGTTATTCCTCCAATTTTGTAAGAATGTCATTCAAGAATCAGCATCTAACAAAATCGCACCAGATTTCCGATAAGCATTCGATTCATATTCAGGATTTGATTCTTCTGAAATGTTTTTTCTCGTATTTATTTTGCTGCATTAATTTTTTTTAGGATGGGGATCGCTTCGGCTTCCTCAACAAATGTCACGTGGAACAAAATTTTGTTCCAGTTGACGTTTGCTTTCAGGTTTATATAAGGCAAACAAAGCGTCATTCAATTCTGGACTGAAGTATTACTATATACTTTCTATCTCAACATAACAGTCATGGAATTAATCAAGGGAGGTATATCGTCGCTACTGAGTATGAACATTATTTTCCGAAGTGTTGTAAAAGATAAGTTATCACTAGAATCTCACAATTTAATAAAATCCGAACTACAGTGTTTATCTTCATTAGTGTCAATACTAAATGTAGTTCTACAGACTGACCGAATGTAACCAATTGTACAACATTTTAGACATTCATCATTACGAAATACAAAGGAATTATGTGAGTGCAACTTAGCACTGGATAAACATGTACCAAACTTGTGGTCAACTCCGTGACTGGCTTTGCAATTACTCTAATATCTGTTATTCGCATCAGATCAGAATGACTATGTAACGTGGTGGAGTTATCGACGTTTTCATGAAATGTTTATCTTCCCAGCACTCGAAATTAGTACACAATACATGATTTAGTAGTACGTTTTTGAGGAAAGCGTAGCAGGCTCGTTTGTTAATGCCGAGGATTCTAGTTAGTTGTAAGGCACACTGTTTCCATTTATTCATCGAAAACTTCAGAATATGAATGTGTGAAAACCTGTATGCCACGTATATTTTGCTCGTTCTTGACTCTACTACACGTTCACTTTGTTCTCTGAGATGAACACATCTAGTGGGAAGCAAATGATAAATTATTTTGGGTCCAAAATCATTTCTTGTATTCTGTGCATCGAAATCAGGTCACATCTCCGTCTACGATAAGACACAGTAAAGAGGTCTTGTATTTCAATCCTCTTTTTGTTGTAAACATCGGAGTTCTGGAATCGCACGGGTAACTGCACTCAGCATTTTTTGCAGGTCAACTTTTAAATAAGAACCAACAGCGTCAATCCATTATTCAGGCTTATTTCTCACGAAGGTTGTGTATACTGTGGTGATCATGTTAGTATCTAACTTGGTGAATGTCCGTCTTAAAACCCACAGTGTTGCAAACGTCTTAGCTGCAACCGTACGGCAACGATCGGTGGTCTTAAGTTGAGGACATCGGTCACACCAAGATCCTTCTGGAACCGATCTACGGGTACAGGCACTTTCCTTATGCAGCAGCTATTCAACTTAACATCTCAAATCATTGAAGTGAACTTCATGTGAATGAAACGAGCATGCATCCTTCCAAACTAATGTTGAATGCCCAGTTTCTGAATCTGTATTACTATTTTATTACTACTGAATCGTTGAAGGTCTAATACTGCAAAGGTATTTTCACGTACGCAATAGTTTCTATAATTTTCCTTTTAACAATCGACTCCAAGTATGCATGACATTAGTTGTGGAGCGTTTATTCACAAATGCAACTAGAGAATCTTATTGATCACCTAACATATGGATATTTAACTCGATCAAGTAACTCTGGCTACAGTGTTTGTTTGTTGTAGATGAAAGACGAATAGAATTGAATGTGTAATCTTAACGATTTCCTAATGTGAGTGGATAATGTATAGGAATGACTATGCGACGAATGGAAGTGTAGATGAATATGATGTGCATAGGAATGGCTTTGTGACAAACATATAATACGATTCGTTTTTTTGAAGCAACGATTTTCCGCCAAGGTTTATCGTAGCTTTTAAACAAAAATGAATCTCCTCATTTGTTTCCCAACAGGCAAAATGAGATTTTGACCTGGTTTATCTATGGTGATCAATTTTTGACTTTTCAGATCTAATCATTACCAGTTCATGTTAACTGATCTTCAAGTCGAATTCAATGTATTCAAATGGTGAGTGGATTTCACATACATATCAATCATCGTTTTTCAAAAATGTAAGAACTTCCAACATTTTCAGTTTCTAAGGAGATTTGAATCTCACGAATATTGAGTGATTACAATCCGTGAAGGTGTAAGTGTGCAGGTCTTATATGTGTTGACTTACGTGTACCATTATCTTCTCCTTCATGAGATCATTTGACAGTGAATAATCCCTCTGAATTATTGAAAATACGAAAATAGATAATGAAATATCTGTGAAATGAAAATCCATCTCTTTTATTTAATGTACGTTGTAACCCGGAATACCTTTGCACACAAGTTATCAAATTCATTCCTACATCTACATGAAATGGAGATGTTTCAAGGAATAATGTCGCTTCAATGGTATAATGAACTTTTCAATCAACTGACTTCGGTAAAGTTACTTCACGTCCGCCCAAATTGTCCAATGATTTTTTGACTGAGTAAGAGTAATTTAATATCTATCTGACAATAGCCTAAAATAATCATTTTCTGAGATTCGGTTATTCATCGATTCGGAGAGCAGACCAAAACGACCATATGTAGACTTGATGTTCTAGGTATTTAAGTTCGAGTAAAACTTTGTGTACTTGCGGACTTTTCATGGTCGTTCAATATTCAGCTCCTTCAGAAAGTACCTAGATTCGGAGATCATAATCATACGAATATGATTCCAGAGATACAGTGGAATCAAGTATGAACCAAATAAGTGCTAGTAAAGTATTGTAGGATAAAAATATGATATTTTGTAGGCTTTACAAGTTCAAACTGACTTCACTCAGAACATGGCTCATTGCTACACATTTGTTCAGTTTGATTCACTCAGTTCAGAAAGAAGTGTCGGATCGATGAGATATCAATTTAAGCGAAATGAATGTGAGAAAAGGAAACAACACAATCTACAACTGAATAATATAAGAACCCACTTTCATTTAAAACATCAAACTCAAGCATTCAGATGTCTTTTTAATTCATTTGAGATTCGTCCGTAGTGCATTCTGACCTTTAATTTTAATAAAGAAAGCATGCAAATTGATTGATGATTTCACATTGAATGGATAAATGAATTCGAATTAGACTGAAGATTTAAAGGCATTCCATGGACTTAATTGAATCAGCTATAAGGCGTCACATCACAGACAATTTGAGGAAAAGGTTCAGCATGTTACGAAGAGCAAGCGACTGATTCACTAAAGAAATTGAATCAACTTTGATTCATGAGATTAATTTGTGATCGAGAAAACTCAATAACAATTTTAATTTGAAGAAAATTATGGACTTACCATCAGAAGAACCATCAAAGTAACTGACTTGACTTTCGTAATATTTCAACGGGAGTTCTAGTCTAA